TCAGGGGAAGCAAAGTCAATGGTGTCCTTAGAACTAGACAAAGGGATGGTCCTACTCCCAAGGCACCACAGCAGATGCCTCCATGATGGCTCTGCCAGCCACTTGCCTCCCTTTTCCATTCCCAACCACAAGTGTACCATCTGCTGAACTATTCTTGGCGTAGAAGGGAGGACTGGAAAGGAGTATGTGGTCAGCCCTTTCGTAGAAGGGCAGTAGAACACTCGGCTGAAGGACTCAATACAGAAAGAAGTGCACGCTGCCTCTGACTTTTCTCTCTAATAAAGCAAAACCAGTTTACAAGCACTCGATTGCATCTGCTGGAGAGAAAGGGAGCGCCTTGAGAATGTGTTGCAGATGAGTCACTATTTTATTTTCAGGTGGGAGGGCATTTTTAAAAATGTTTTGCAAATTCAAGATTCATGAAGTGACATTGCAGTTTTCTGGATTTTGTTGTGGTGGCATTTATGTGTTAATTTGGTGACTGTAAGAATGTGGATAATGACTGCCATAGGTAACCCTCGTCCCCCTAACCCTATTTTTCCTATATAAGGTCATAAGTTCCTCAACCAAAAATTCTCCTTCCGCGAGGGTTATAAGGAACGTTACCCAGGCAGCTAAAGAGGTACAATTGTACTTCAGAGTGCATGCCACGGCCCCTCTGCCTTCCTGCCCTCCTCTTTCCTTCAATTCCCTGATTTTCCCTTTCCCACTCAATTCTCATTTCTTACCATCCATTTGTTCTTCCATCTGCCCCTCCTCCTCTTTACACTCCTCTCTCTTCAGGGGTGGGGCGCTGAGGACCCTGGCTCAGGTTGAACATGAGCCCAATCTCTCAATGATCCAACTTCCACCAGCCCTCAGCCCAACCTCACATCCCTTTCATGGATTGATGTGCTCATTTCACAGCCATCCTTACTGTCTCCATCAGCCATTAACTTGAGCTTCCCGTCGCAGAGGGTTCTGCCATCCCCTGCCTGCTCACCTTCTCCCTGTTGTGTGCCCTCAGGTGAACTGCCCTCACCTCAGCCGGGAATTCTGCACTCCTCGCATCCGCATCCGGGGTAACACCTGCTTCTGCTGCGACCTCTATAACTGTGGCAAGTGAGTGTTGAGCCTCAGTGTTTAATCACAATAGGAACTGGAAGGGCTAGGTGGTAGGGCATCAGGGATCCGTGAAGTAGGAGATACACTGCAGCTAATTCCCATTATCTGGCTCCTGTGTGCCAGGTACTATGCTTTAAAAGATTTTATCCCATTTAATCTTTACCTATCAGGTATGTAGAATGATTATTCCCGTTTTATAGATGAGGAGAGAGGTTCAGAGGAAACAGAGAACTAGCCCTTGGTCACATAGAGCTTGAAAATGGCAGAGGGAAGATCTTTATCTTTTGGGGGGGGTGTTTGTTTTGGAGATGCTGGGGGGTTTAAGTTGTGATTTGGGTAAAAGCTTACAAAGCATATCGGGAATTTTTAGAGACTTAAAATTTTTTAAAGTATTATTAATTTTAACGAAAATTTACAGAGACTTTGGATTTCTGTTCATTCATTGTTGCACTTTTCTTCCTGCCCACCGCTCCCCCCCCCAGTTTGCCCTTCTCTTTGAAAAGTAAAAGAAAAATTCTTTCATTGTTATACAAACCTTTCCCCCTCCCCCCCAAGTGCACTCCACTATGCAGGCTTCGTTCTGGACTCCTGTCATGACAATAATACCTAATCACATATCCCTTTTAAACAGTTCTCTCCCTCATCTGTTTCAATGCAGTCCCAGTCACTTCTTCATGCACATTCTGTCTCACAAAATCAATTACAATACACAGTGTCTGATTGTACACATTGGCCTTCCTTTCACTCATCCCAATTAAGTGTTTATTGTCTATCAATTCTTTTCTACTTCTTCCTTCCCCTCCCTGGAAACAATATTAAATTGATTCTCGCTGTGTGTTAAACCATTCTTTAGATTTTTTTTTAATAATTATGGTCTTATATCATAAGACCTTTTGTGACTGAGTTACTTCACTCACCATAATGTCCTCCAAACTCATTCATATTGTGTAGGGTTTCATGAATTCTACATTGTTTTTCAAAGTTGCAGACTACTCCTTTGTGTGAATGTACCATAGTTTCTCATCCCATGCATTCATTGATGGGCCCTTGGGTTGTTTTATCTCTTTGCAATTGTGAATTCTGAACCCAGCTTGGAGTCCAGGTCCAACAGCACTCAACAGTTATTGAGCCCCTTCTCTGTGCCTGATCCTGCTGTAGACCCCAAAGATTCAGCAATAAAACAAAGCCAAGTAATAGATAAAGCCAAGATAATAGAAAGTTCTTGGGGGGTGTTGGGGGGTGGAGGGCTGTGGGGGGAGGTGCACACGCATGCCCTCATGCATGCATGCAGAGGTATAATTAGAGGCCACATCACAGAGGGCCCATAGGTTGTAGGTGGAACTTTGAACTTGACCCTATAAGCAGCTGGAAGCCATTAAAAAGATCATGATTGGACGATGGCTTGTAGTGCCTGGTGACTGCAGGTATTAGGAGGTTAGCTAGCAGTTTAGGAGGTGGGCTCAACAGGAATGTGCTCACAGGGGATATGGAGCATGGGTAAATACCCCTCCACAAAGGGTGTGTCAGCCCGTGCCTGCCCAAGCATGTAGCTTCTTCACTTTTCCAGTGGAGAGGATAAAGAGGGCCGGGGAGAGAGCGCAGAAGGAAGAAACTGGCAAAAGGGGGCTGAATGGAGCTAGATCCAGAGAGCCACTTCCTTGGTCATATGCTCTACTCTTGGTGTTTGAAGATCAGTTTCTCTGGTTAGAGGATTAAAACCTAACAGGCCAGCCACAGGGAGGAGAAGGGAGGGTGGGAAGAACTCTGGCCAGCCTTTTGCTTACTTTGCTAGCACCATCCTCATCCCTTTAAAAGGTCTGGCCTTGAGGTCAAGAAACTTAAAGACTCAAGTGAGATTTGGAGATTATCTGTGGAGTTCAATTATTCATGTTGCAATAATAACTAACACTTGGATAGGGCTTCCCTCCCTTAGAAGCTGTGATAGAGAGAGAGCTAGCTGTAATTGTTCAGAGTCTATCCTTCCAACAATGATCAAAAGAATGTAAAATAGGTCCCAGGGGAGCTGGGGTTCTTTTGCTATCTTTGTCTCCCCAGATCGATCCCTCCCCTTGGCCTGTCCCTCCCTCTGTTTTTATTAAGTCCTCCGTCTTCTATCTTTTCTTCTTACACCCTCCTCCTTCTCCACCATTCTCCTTCCTCCCCACCCTCCTTTCTCATTCCATCACCACCTGGGGCAGTGCTGGGAGCTGGCCAGGCTAGGACTGAGAGCCATAAAAGGAGCGAGGAGCACCCCCTCCCTCAGGAGGCCCCCTGAAAGGGCAAAGAAGCAATTCCTCTCAGACACACCTTTTCTCTCTGCAATAAATGTGTTCCTGAAAAAGGTTTGAATCAACTAAATCCTACTTTTAAATCCTACTTTTAATTCATATAACTGAGGCCTTAGGTGATTTTTTTTTGTTAAAGTAGAGACTCAAGCCCAATTTTTTTGCCTGTCAAACCTGAACTGACTTTCTTAAAGCAAACTGGCCCAAGAACATGCCTTCATTCTGCCTACATCTCTAGGCCCCAGACCAGGGCCAAGCATGAATGAAACACTGATGAAAAGGGGTGACATTTGTGGCAAAGGGGGAAAAAAGGCACTCCTTTTTTCACCAGGGAGGTAAAATATTGGAGGGGACATCCAAGAGAGGTATGATGAGGACACCACCCCTAAAGATCTTCAAGCCCAGAGATTGTTTTCCTTTGCCTGATACCTGGAGGCTTAACCCTAGCATCTCTCAGCACCCTGTCCAAAGTCTTCGGTGCTGATAATCCAGGGGCAAAGCCACTCAGAAAGGCCCTGCTCTCGCTTTTCATTAGGAAACCATCTTGCCACCTCATAGCACAAAGGCATGGGAGTGGAGAGACCATCATTCCACAGTCGAGGGAGAAGTGTTTCCTTGGCCCAAAGCTTTTTCCAGACAGCCCCCAAAGACTTAGACTCAAGGCCTAAATATAGCTAGCAACAGTCATTCTGAAGTTGGGAGACCTTACTTTTGCCCAGTGTGTATTTGTTTTCCTCACATGAGCCCTATTTTTAATCAATTGCCAGCTCCTCAGGTCCATTTCCTGGAAAGGAGGCCAAGGAGGGGGGGGTAGAGAAAGTGGGAACAAAAACATCAAGCAGTCATTTGTACAGTGCGATGGAAACAGTTTCAACTGTCCCCTCGAACCCACAGACCTCCATTGACGTCAAGGGTGGTGAGGTTTTTAATACTAAACATAGATTATTCCATTTAGCCTTGTGCAGGAAGGTGCCTTTCAAGAGGACTCCTCTCTTCTGGCTGCTGCCTTTTTGTGTTTTGGGTTTTCATCCTTGGAGAGGTCAAGTCAGTATCATTGCATTTTGGTTCAGAACCTCAAGAAAGTGAATGACAGAGGTGGTTTGCTAAGTGGTGAGACAGTAAAAGAAGACAAGCTTCATTCCATTATTTGGCCAACTTTTTGACTGCACTCCTACTGTGTGTCCAGGTAACATGAGCAGTTGTCAGGGCAGGTCCACAGAAGAAAGGGCTGGCAATCTGCTTCTGTAAGATTGTTGTTCTTTATTGCCGTTGAGTCAGTTCCCCATGTGTGACAGAGTAGAACTGTACCATGGGATATTCTTGACTATGGTCTTAACTGAAGCAGATTGCCAAGACTTTTATTTCACAGTATCACTGGGTGAGTTTGGACAGCCAGCCTTTAGGTTAGCAGTCAAGTAAGTTGTAAATCATTTGTGCCGACACAGTTCTATTCTGACACAGATAGGGTCACCACAAGTCAGAGTCTCCTTGAAAGCAATGGGTTTTATGGGGGGTTTTTTGTTTGTTTGCTTGTTTTTGTTATGTGCCAGAAACTAGAAAAATAGGTATCCAAAAGAGATAGTTTGAAGTTTGAATCCACCAATGGCTCCAGGAGAGAAAGATGGGCAATTTCCTTATGTGCTATTTTACAACCTCTGAAAACTCACTAAGGGGTCAGGTATGAGTTGGCTCCGATTTAGCAATGAGTTTGAGTGAGTTTCTTGTGTTGTGTGCCATGGATTTGGAACCCAACTCATAGATGACCCCTCATTGAGGTTTTCAGAGGCAGTAAATCACAAGGGAGGAGATTGCCCATTATTCTCCTGCAGAGCAGCTGGTGGTTTCGAACTGCATGCCTCTGTGATTGCACCACAGGTTCCTACCACTAAGCGACCAGAACTCTGGCAGAGTTTGCCCTTAAGGAACACAATTTATTGACATTTTAGGTTGATACATAGAATATGTGCAGTGAGAGATTTGTGTGCAGCAGCTGCCTATTGCCACAGCCTGTCTACCAAGAGTTAGTAGATGATTCACTCAACATCCTTAGTACCAGCAATCAAGGAATAAAAAGACATGTTACATTGGGAAAATCTGCTGTCAAGGACCTCTCCAAATTATTGAGGAGTAATGATGTCAGTTTGAGGGCTAAGGTGCATCTAACTCAGGCCATGGTGTTTTCAATCTCCTGTTATGCATCTGAAAACTCGACAATGAATAATGATGACAGAAGATGAATTGATGCCTTTGGGCTGTAGTTTTGGAGAAGAGTACTGAATGTCCCATGAACTGCTGGAAGGAAAAACAAATATGTCTTGGAGAGGGTGCAGCCAGAGTGCTCTTTGGAGGCAAGGATGATGAGGCTTTGCCTCACATACTTAAGGCATATTGCTAGGAGGGGCTATTCCCTGAACAGGGCTATCATGCTTGGAAAGAAGAGAGCGTCAGCAAAAGAGAAGAAGACCCTCAATAAAATGAATTGACACAGTGACTCTAACAGTGGGCTCAAGTATATCAGAAGTTATGAGTTTGGCACAATATAGGGCAGGGTTCAAAGCCATTGTTCCCAGGGTTGCTATGAGTCATAGTCAGCTTGACAGCATCTAACAACAACAATATAGGAAGGTAGAAAGATTCTCTGTTGCTTTATTTAAGCCAAGTCAGTGGAGACTGAACCACAAAGGTTTTTCCAGGCTCACCTGGCAAGTTGAGAGGAAGGGAGCAACAGCTTATATTGTGTAATCAATTTCATGATCAATGCACCCCTCAGGCTGTGAACTCAGTTACTCATTCACCAAGTATTGATTGATGATCTTTAACATTTCTGCCACTGTGGCAGACACTGAGGCTGACACAGAAGAAATGTGAGAGATGAACTTGGTTCTCAGAGGTTGCAATCTAGACTGAAATACTTTGGCCCTGATAGTGGCTTCAGCACCCAGCACTAAGTACGTGCTCAATAAATACTAGATTAAATGAATGGCTCAATGGTTGTCATCCACCAAATATCAAACTAAAAGGAATAGGTTGTTTGAGGCTGTGGATGTCCAGGAGGAAAGTTTATGAAGGGTACTGACTTCCTTGAATAAGGCCCTAGAAAAGGCGGCGTAGAGCAGTGGAAGATGTTGGGACAGGCAGAGAACAGAGGCCAGACCCTTCTTTTCAGGGAAGAAATGTTTAGAATCAGCTCCAGGCATGGCCAGCGCTTGAGGCTTCTGAGGAGCTGAGCCTGGCTGGTGCATGTACATTCCATTTGGGGACCAGACTCTTGTAAACCTTGAATGCCAGATTAAGGGATTTAGACTTTTTATTGAAGGTAATGAGGAGCAAGTGGGTTTTGATTAAAGACGTGATACAGAGAAGTCATATATGAAGATTAATCTGGAAGTAATAGGATCTGGCAAAAGGGTATTGCAGGCATGGGAGGCTTAAGGTGTTGAAGGTAGCAATGATGAGAATGCAACAGATGGAATGTGTGAGGAAGAGCTTTGCTGACAGAACCAAAGGGAATACAAGCCACTTCATTTTTGCAGAACCTTGAACCATACCCAAGTATTAAACTTTCTTATTCTTCATGGTTCAGTTAAAAGCACTTTCTAAATTAGCTATTGTATTCATTCAAACTGAAACTCAATGTATATTCTCTAAAACTACTAAATATGTTTAAACTGACCCCTGACCCACCCCCATGTTGTGGTTTGTGCCTTTAAGAACAGGATTCAGGAGGCTCAACCATATTACCAAGAGGCTGGCTCTTTGAGGATGGACAGTCTCTTATTGTGCAGGAGTCCTAGAGTGATGCAAATAAGTGGTTAATGTGCTTGGCTGCTCATGCTAAGACTGAAAGTTCAACTCCACTTAGGAGTGCTTCTAATAAAAATATTACATTAGAAAAATCAATTGTTAAAAGCCCTATAGAGCACATGTGTACCCTGGCATGTGTGGGTTCGCCACACATTGAATCAAGTTGACAGCAACTAAGAGTTTTTCTTGTCACATGCTGGGGTGCCAATTTCAGGCATTCTGCCATTAAATCCTTCAATCTCAGAGAGGTTAAGAAAGATGCTCGGAATAACACAGCAACTAAGTGACAGAGCCAGAGTTCAAAGGCAGTCCAGAGTCTGCTTTGCTATACTAGCATTTTGTATGTACTAGTGGCCCACCTTTAATGTGAGCTCTGGCAGGGTAATCAGTAGGGAGTTGTGCTGCTAACACAAAGGCAGTTCCTCTCTTATGGTTCAAATCCACTGGTGGCTCCAAAGGAGAAAGATTGACAATCTCTTCCAGTGCAATTTACAACCTCTGGCCAGTCAGTTCTGACTTGACTATTTCTGAGGTCTCAGTGTATTCTTAAGTTGTTATGTCCTGTGTGTGAGTTGGAACTGACTCATAGTTGACCCTCCAGTGGGTTTTTAGATGCTGTAAATAAGTAGTACAGGAGGAGACTGCCCATCTTTCTCCCATGGAGTAGCTGGTAGATTCCAACTGCATACCTTTGGGTTCATTCACAGTGCAGCTCCTTACCACTCAAACACTAGAGGTCCTTCCTCAGTGTATTAGGAGATAGCGAACCAAAACCCAAACTCCTTTCAGTAGAGTTGATTCCAATTCACGACCCTTTAAGACAGGGTAGAAATGCCCGATCGAATTTCCAAGATTGCTGATGTCTACAGAAGCAGACTTTGTTCTTCTCTTTTTCCTCCTTCTTTTGGAGCAAAGAGACACTGAAGCCTTGCAAGCCTAAATTCAGATTCCAGTTCTACAATTTATAACTTAGGAAGGTTTCTTCGCTCCTCTCTCCTTCAGCCTCTTCAACCGGTGAATGGGAACCATGAGAGTATGTATAATAGAACCTTCTACAACAAAGGAAATACTGTACCATTTGTTCTGTCTGGTACAGTAGCCACCTAGCCACAGGTGGTTGGTAATTGAGTGCAAAACATGTAGCTGGTAAGACTGGAGAACTAACTGTTTAAATTGGCTTTCATCTTAATTGATTTAAAAGTCAAGAGGCACATGTGGCTGCTGGCTGCCATCTTGGATCGCACAGATCCAGTGAACCCACCTGTGTGAGATGATTAGTGCAGTGCCTGGCACATTCAAACCCCAACCCCCTGCCGATGAGTCAATTGTCAATAATGCTATCTGGGATTTGTGTCATTGCTGGTGACAAGGGTTTCTCTGACAGGTAAATGTGGGGTTTGGGTTTTTCTAAACAACAGTCCTACCTTGCATTACTAGAGTATCTTGCTCCTTCATCGTGCTCATGGATGTGATGTCTATTATGATAGTTCTCCACCTGCTTGCCTGTCTTTTTGCTGAGCCCTAGGGGGCCAGCCTGCTCTCTGGAGACTGACTGTGGTGTCCTCCTCCCTATCTAGCCGAGTGGAGATCACTGGTGGGTACTATGAATACATCGATGTCAGCAGCTGCCAGGACATCATCCACCTCTACCACCTGCTCTGGTCCGCCACCATCCTCAACATTGTTGGCCTGTTTCTGGGCATCATCACTGCAGCAGTGCTCGGAGGCTTCAAGGACATGGTAAGGCGGAGAAGAAATTCTTGTTCTATGGGGGCTCCTATTGTGGGTGTGGGGTGCTGAGGCTCAGTGCTTGAGGGCACTGGGGAGAAAAGCAGAAGCATTTTCCTCAACAACATAGCTGCCTTCCAAATATCTTCCCCCCCTCCCCATTCCAAATATCTCTATTTAAAAGAGCCATGTAATATCATCAGTCTGCAAATATTTCTTGTTGATATGAGTTTTCTGCTTTCTTGAGGCAAAATCTCCAGACAGGGTTGGGAGGGTTGAAAGTAATGTTGTCAATTCAGCTATTATCACACTGGTTATAAACATGGCCTTCCAGGCTTTTTTACCTTAACCCTTCCCTCTCATAGACACTTTCAGAAACATGTGGAGGTAATCCCACACCTATAGATAATAGAGAGAGAAGAAAAGTGAGAGAGGTTTTGTAGCTACAAATTAAATTAATGGTCTCCTCCTCCCCAGGAATTCCATCACAGGTGTCCTCGTCCCCTACCCTCACCCCCCATGCAAGAGCATCTGGGCTCTTTTCATTTTTAACTTGGGCCAGCCCAAGGCTAAGCTGCATGCAACATCTTGCCTTTAATCTCAGCCTCCCTATATTACCTTTTCTTTTTTCCAGATCTTGTGTTTCAGTATGTATGGGGCACATCCATCACAGGTCAGCACCTCGTAGGTGTTCTTTAACAAGGCGTCTTCCTTCCTTTGCTTTTAAAAGATTTCAGGTCCAGAACAAATGATGCTGAGTGACATAAACCAGGCACCACAGGACAAGACTACTGATGCAAAAAGCTAAGATTTACATTCAGATAGAATTAGTTTTGAGGAGTTAACAGGGATGGGAAGAGAGGGAGGGGGAGAAAAAAAAATACATAGATAAGTTGAACAAAAGAGAAAGGCAACACATAATAAGGAGTAGATCAGACTCTGAAATTTATGAATTAGATTAGCCCTGATGTAATTAATGCTATAAGACAAAATGCCTATTAATGAGTGCCATAGTTTTCACCTTACTTGTTATGCATCAAAGGGTTGTACAATGATTAAGGATAACAGAAGAAGAATTGATGCCTTACAGTTGGGTGCTGGAGGAGAGTCTTAAACATGCCATGGACTGGCAAGAAAACAAATAGGTCTGTCTTGGAGAGGGGGAAACTAAGTCTCTCCTCGGAGGCAAGGATTTTGAAGCTCGGTCCCACATACTTTGAGCATGTTGCCAGGAAGGACCCATCCTTGGAGCAGGACATCATGGCTGAAAGGGTGGAGGGACAGTGCAGGAGAGGAAGGAGACCAAGGAGACATGACCATAGAATGCAACAGGAGAGGCTGGGCTGGATTATTAAAGGGCTATTAGTGAAAATCAAACACCTCCCCCACACACAAAAAAAAACCCAACTAATGAAATTTGAAAAACTTCTGTCAAAACTCAAAAAAATCACTGCTATCAAGTTGGAATGCTCTCATAAATGACTCTCCCATGGTTTTCAGAGGCTGTAAATCACATGAGAGGAGAATGTCCTTTTCCTGGAAGAGTAGCTTGTGGAGTTGAACTGCCAGAGAAGCATCACCTTTGGCTTAGCAGTACAACTCTACAGACTATGCCACTAGAGCTTCTGGCAGTTCAGCTGATTTTGTCATTTTGATCATTGTTATTATATAAGATGCTTGCACTAACAGAAGCCAGGTGATGTGTATATATGGGAACTCACAGTACTATTTTTGTTTTTATGTTGGTTTGCATACAATCATTCACATCCATTGTATTTCCTTCAAGTATATCATGTTTCATACAATAATTAATATATATTGTGTTTTATGTAATTAAATATTATTAATAAAAAAAGGAAGAAGACCCTGATTGAGCTAAATTGACTCAGTGACTGAGATACTACGGGTGAGTGGATCAGAGTCAGTGAGACTGGCTCAAGATAGGACAGGATTCAGAGCTATTGTGCATAGGGTCTCTCTGAGTCACAGGTAACTCCATAGCATATAACAACAACAAGAAGCATTTAGTCTCTAGGTTAATAAACCTTTAAATGTGGAAGGAAATCTTCAGAGCACTGGTTCTTGATAAGGTTTCACATCCCTTTCTACAAAGATGGTACTAAAAGCGAAGAAAGAAGCCCCTGCCCCTCCCAAAATTGAAGCCAAAGCAAAAGCGTTAAAAGTCAAGAAGGTATCTACAGCCAAAAAAATTATCCACACATCACTCACTTTCCCATGGCCTAAGATTCTGAGACTCCAAAGGCTACCCAAATACCCCTGAAAGAGCTCCCCTCTGGAGAAACAAGTTTGACCACTATACCATCTTCAAATTTCCCCTGACCACTGAGTCAGCCATGAAGAAGATAGACGATAACAACACACTTGTGTTCATTGTGGATGTCAAGGCCAACAAGTACCAAATCAAACAAGCTGTAAAGAGGCTATGTGGCATTGATGTGGCCAAAGTCAATACCTTGATCAGCCCTGATGGAAAGAAGAAGGCCTATGTTGGACTTGCTCTTGACTATGTTTGGGAAGTTGCCAACAAAACTGGGATCATCTCAACTGAGTCTACTTGGCTAATTCTAAATAGAAATATTTTTTACTAAAAAAAGGAAAAGGGAAAAAAGGGTTCACCTAAGCGAACAGGTTGAGGTACTTGAATAAGCAAAACAGAAATTTGTTGTTTTTCTTCTTTTTTTTATTAAATTTTATTAGTTTTAATGAACATTTACAGAGATTTTGGGTTTTCATTCATTCATTGTTGCACTGTTTTCTCCACCCTCCTCCCCAGTTCGTTCTTCTTCCCCTGCCCCCGAATGTCTGTTTTAATTGTCCAATTGCCACAGTGCTTGTCAAAGCCAGTTCTGATTAATCTCCTTTGTCAGTGTGTCCCTGTCACTGCTCCCTGAGAGAGACTTCACCCTGATTCATAAGGAAAAGGGGATGGCGTATTCTCTTAGCTACTTCTTGCTGAAAAGGGATGCTGTGGGTTTCAGGATGAATGTCTTCTCTCACTACTCTAAAGGGCCCCCTTGGCAGTAGGAAACACATAGACTATTATGGAGATTGATTTTGGAATTTAGATGCACTGTTATCAATTGTGCTTATCCGTACATGTTCATATCCTTGAAGATGTATCATGGAGGTGTTGCAGCCTAGAAGATACAAATTTAACTAACAAGTTAAAAGTGCATGAGTCAAAAATTGAAAAGCAATAATATTCTGAGTAGAGGTTCTAATAGTGGCACAAATCAAGTTACAGAGGTAAGGTGGTTCCATTGCCATGTTTTTCTTCTTAAGTGCCCAAGGTAATTCAGAGTAGAGTTCCACTGCTTTAAAGGACTGCTCCACATCTGTCTAGGAAACAAAACCTCTTTATGAGTTAGAACCAACTCATAGCTAACCGTCTAGCTGGTTTTCAGAGGCTGTCAATCCTAAGGGAGGAGATTGTCCACCTTTCTCCCTTGGATTGGCTTGAATTAGAACTGCCTGCTTTTGAATTGGCAGCACAACTCTTTATGCACTAAGCCACCAAAGCTCCCTGTTGAAGATGTTATTGTTACATGCTTAGAGTTGGAACCATAATAGAAAATGAAAGTTGAGGTAGGACAAAAGAAATGAAGAAAACCTCTGCATGTGGGGCAGCAAGTCCCCAACAGGACTGGATTGCTTGGAAAGATTGAGTATTCCTGCTGGTGACCTGAAGTTAAGAAAAATCATTCCCCCTGTGCCTCAAGTTTCTCCCTCTCATACATGCATTTCTTATTCCCACTCTGAATCATTAACTTACTTTTTTTTTAATATGGTGTTAGGTAGGGGTTCACCTTCATTCTTCTCTATGTGGCTATTCAGTTGTCCCAGAAATTTGTTGAAGAGATTGGTTTCCTAAAAGCTCAAGGATTAAGGAATGGGGGAAGCATCAGCATAGGTGGGTTCTTCCAAACAAAACCAGTTGCCTTTGAGTTGATAATCCTGTTGGACAAAGTAGAAATGTCCCCATAGAGCTCCCAAGGCTGTAAATCTTGACAGAAGCAGAGATTTTGACACATCTTTCTCCCATCAAGTGGCTGGTAGAGTTGAACGGGTATCCCTGAAAGCTCCAGTCTTGGGGAAGTTGAGGAGAGGGAATAGGGGAAGGGTGTTGAGGGTTCTCAGGGTTGTTCCTAGAACTTTAAGGCTAGGGGGCCACATCATACCTGATCTACTAATGGAGAAGAGACTATTTGGTGAGTACTCAAGTTCCTGCAGGGAACCCCTCCCATTTTGGTGAACCCAAAGTTCAATGGTTCAAACCCACCAGCCACACTCAGGAGAAATGAAGATTCTGCTTCTGTAAAGATTTACAGCCTCTGAAACCCTATGAAGGTACAGTTACATACTGTCCTGTAGGGTCACTATGAGCCAGTACCCACTGGACAACAGTGGGTAGTTGAAGTCAAGGTGCTAAGACTTCAACCACTTTCAGTTATTTACCTTAAGGTAAACATTGTCCTTTGCCTCCTGGCCTCTTCCAAAATGCATATTTTGTGCTTAAAAAAACAAACACAAATATGCTACAGAGATGTTAACACCTGAAGTTATTTTTTCTTTTTTTTTCTTTTTCTATATTTTATTAATTTTC